TCCCACACCCCGAACGCAAACAGGCACACCGGTAAAAATACGACTGCCAAAATTCTTTCTCCTCCCTCCCGCGTCCGCCCAGTCGGGCGTGCATTTTCTCCAAGGCAGGGTCCAAGCTCAGGAGCCGGGTAATGACCGTGACGTAATTTTCCAGGTCAAACGGGCCAAACTGCTCCTCTTCTTCCGCATGCAGGGGCGCAAAGGTTGCCTCGTCGTGAGAAATGGCCAGAATTTGCTCCATCAACGGCTGGGTCAAGATTTCTTGACTTTCATCACTCGCCTCCCAAGGCAGCAAGCTTACAAGCGAAGATGGGGGAACGGCTGCGGACGAAGATGCCTTGATTCGAGCTTCTTCGGCGCTGATTTCCTGTGCAGCTTTCTCAGCAACCTGATGGAGGGCCTGAGCAGCTTGAACAGCCTCCTAGGTGGAAGGATATCGGGGAGGAAAATCGGAAGAGAGAGAGGAAATGACGACTGGAGGTGAAAAGCGTTGCCTACCAAATGATCTAATTATCATTGGAATTGAAATAACTAATGCTGGGACTTGGAACTAGCTTGACAAAATCAGTGTATTTTAATGTGATAAGTGCATGCGATGGAAGAAGTAGATTCCTGCCTCATGCAGGAGAGGAGAGAGAGGAGCAGTACCTCTTTTAATTTTACAGCACGCAGTTTCACAGCGTCCATGGCGGAGGTAAATGCAGGAGAGGCTTCCTGGTTATGTGCGAGAAAAGATAAGAGGTAATCGCTTTCTTGCCTTTCGCAGATAAAGAGACATTTCCCAAGACTCTCCTGTCCCGTCTTCCCTCGCTCCTCCCTCTCTAGTCCTCAAGCACGTACATCTGCTGCCTTCACGACTTGATCCCGGGCTGTCTCAAAGGCTCTGCCAATGTCTGCACTAAAACTTCCGAACCAATTGGTCGCGGTGGTTGAAGCGGGTGGAGAGCGCGTGGCAGGGTTGTCTTCAGACATGAGACTTTTGCAAGAAACGGCTCATGCGCCGACGAGACGAAACACACTGTTTAATCACGAGGACGGAAGGAGAAAAACGAGGAGAGTAGTGCAATGTAAATTTATTTCAAAGCATCGTGAGAGGACGTCCAGACTCCTTCTGCAATTCTCGTGGCCCTTGTCTTTTTGTTGAAAGAGCATGGTTCCTGGCCTTCAAGGGAGGGCATGGAGATCGAGGGGGTACGTGGTACAACCCATAATGCACGTATCCTAAGAAAATGTTAAATTTAGACTCACAAGATATGAAAATGGAGATGAATATGTTCACAAGATAAAAAACAAACAATCTCGCCGTAAATAAAAGCTTAAGGTCTACGGCACGGCCTGTCTTTGCGCTAAATAATGTTGCCATGGGCCACGCAGGCAACTTGCTTCCGCGATTGCCAATCGCACGCGCACATGAACCTTTTTCCTAAGTTAAAGGCATAATCAGGAATAAAGCTTTTGTTATAGCTTTAATTCTATTTTCGAGAGGTACTACTGTTCCATCTTTTAAGCACTATGCCTTCCATGGCATTGCAATCCATGAAAATGATACATGAAGAAGAGGTGCACATTAGGGTATTTGGTCGCTGCTCGACGATTCATCTTCTATATATTTTCATCGCTCGCAGTAAAGCATAGTAAATGCCACGTCATATCCAACATCTTAAATCTGATAAGATTTGCACGTACCTTAGAAAGGAAATAAAGGAACGGAGAGAGGAGGTTGTGCAGTGACATCGAAGTTTGCCAGATTGTTTCAACAGATTGCATCCGATGCATAGCCATATAACCGTTGACCTTTTTCGTTGGATATTCTTATATTTAGCTCCATAGATCTGATTGAGACGGGGCAACGAAATCACTGAATGAGAGAACTCTTCTGTGCTGCATTACCGAACTCTGCCCCCCCACTTCTGGCTCCTTACTCAGGAACTGATAAAGTTATGACGATGCGAAGACATGTAAAGTTGCAGTAGATTGCCTAACCGCACGAACAGCTGTAGATACAATAGTCATGAAAGAGAGGGTGGATACTTTTTGAGAAAAGGTATTCAGAGGACAGAATGTCAGAGCGAGCGCCCTGGACTCTTCCAAATAAAACGCTTCTGAGCAAAATAGATACTTTCATTATCAATTTTAAAAACCGTTTCATATCTTCGCTCTACTTGTTAAATGAAACTTCGTAGGGGGATTACGTCAGTACTTGAGATTGCAGCGTACCGCCTCGCTTCAGAGTCTCGACCATTGCTGTACCACCCCGAAAGGTGACATAATATATTCCATCCATTTTTCGGGCTTCTGTTACCAACTATTTGTCTGCGGCAATATAGAAAGGATACTACCGCCCAGATGCTGCACTCATGGCGCTTAAAATTGGTTTGATTGCTGTTGAATACAAAGCAGTGCAGTACCTGGTTTACATCCGTCCGTAAAATCAAACAAAACAGTTGGCTTACATTCATACGGCTTCGTACAAATTCTTTTAAAACCGAAATTTGGGCATGGCAGGCAAAGAACGTACATTTTCCCCCCAAGTTCCTTGGAGAACAGTGCGCGCAAAGAAGGAATTTGAACCAAAGGGAGAAACGGCACCAGCAGCTTCAACTTCAACCATCTTTTTTATCTGTTCGTGATATTGACACCGCCGTAGGTCGTGTCACACTTGTCTACGCTTTCCCCCACTGTATTGCTTGTTGCCCCTTCCAAACTGGATCCTAGTCAAGCTGCTTCAGCATTGGCTCGCTAGCGTTTGCTTCGAAACTGCAAGTAAAATTTTGCTGCCTTCTGATCTGCGTCTTGATCGCTCCACTATTTAACGGATCGAGCGAAGCAGAAAAATGTCAATGCAGATGAAATAATATCGCTTACAGGACATTCCGCGCCATAGACAGATGTGCTTTCACTATGCAAAGAAAAATACGATCGGCTGGGTTCATCATTTGCATTTTCGTCAGAGGGCCGGAAGAACAGTCTAGTGGTATATTTAGACGTTTTCTTCGACTTGACTCCAAGAAAGACCTAACTCTTGACACCCTCTTTCATACCATCCAAATTCAAGAAGCATTCCAGATACACCAAAAAAATCAAACATGTTCCGTGCCGCCCTCTTCAAAGCCTCTCGCTCTATGCCTATGGCTAGGTGAGTTTATATTGAGGGTGTCAAGAACACAACCTCGAATGAATGGAGGCAGAGCTCATAAGCCTACCCCTAACCTCATGTACAAATACAGCAATCATGCCCGGCACATTGTCCATCGGCATGCCTCTACCGGTCGCTCTGCCTGGCTCCGGGACCCTGCAGTACGTGAGCACCTTGTCTTGTCCTTTGGTTCAAATCTGCGACGCGTGACGGACCGCCAGTACCTGCGCTTTGCTTGGTTTTTCAATTCCAACCATCTATCACGCGATCATTTCCTTTAATATTTGGTTGCGAAAGATGTGGATGCCAAGCCCATAAAAGTGACGCGTCTACACGCGATGCTACTTTTAGCACCCATTGCCGCGTATGCAACTGAGATATGCTTTACCTTTCTCCAAAAGTGTTCCTATTTCAACATTTTTATGTATCATTTCTCAACCCAATGAATATCTGACGTCTCACACATCTGCAAATTTACAAAAAGGTGTATCCTCTGCTTGGCATTATTGGCAGCGCAATGGTCCTGTGCTCTACCTTCATGGTTCACTTCACCACCTCCTCTCCTGATGTTCGTATCAACAAGACAAAGCGTCAGAGCGTCGTGCGGGTGGATTAGAGCTGTAAAATCTTGGAAACTGTTACCCCAGGGAAAACATTTTGCTGGTATGTGATAAAGGGTCAAATATTTCAAAACCGAACCTGGGGTGACTAAAAAGAAGAAAAGAATAAAATTGGACAGAAGCGTCAATGGGAGAGAAGCATGACGAGAAGAGATCCTCTCCCAGTTGACACTGTAAGCAGGAATTGACAGATTTTAAGAAGAAAAAAATGTGGTGATAACAAATTAAGCAGAAATCAAATACGTCGCGAAATGGACTTTCCGCCCCCTTTTCAACACTTGTGGGGCAAATTTTGCTTTTAGTAATAAACCCACATTTCCAACGGGCGGAAGGCCGTTAACAGAGAAAGTATCCTAGGAGCCGTCCTTGACGACGACGCGTCTTGGCTAAATCTTTCCGTTTCACGAAGCAAACTCCTCATATAGAGATAGGCTACTATACAACATAGGAGGTGATTTCAAAGTATGAGATGGGGTTCTGAGTAGTGAGGAGCCGGGGTCATTATCAGCAGGCTTCACCCTGACATGACCTCACTTACCCTCGCATCTAAGGCCGGAGCATACTAATTCATCCTTCCTCGATCACATTTGAAAAATATTACAGATGAAGGACTCATCCGACATAGTCTACGATGATTCTTCGCTACTTACCTGCCGAAGTCCGGAGTTAAAACGCCGGCTTCATCGACGAACCAGCAAAGCATCCCAAGAGAGCTTGAAGGTACACTCAAGCTCTTGTAGCTACGGGCGGGCAAGCTGTATCTGGAGGAGCGGCAACAAGCCCGTTAGGAAACTGAGTCTCTTATGATTGAAATGTTTATTAACTTACTCTGTTGTATTTTTACATACACCCTGGCGCCCCACGGACAGCTCCTTCGCATTATTTTCCCCCTTCTTGTCGCACCTTTGTGCATCACGTCCTTCATCTTCACCTGTTTGTATGCTCATATTTATGCCCGGGAAGGATCGTACGGCCCTGAAGATTGGCCCAAATGCCTGACCGTGCCCAACATAGGTAGGTGCGAGTGTTGCCATTCGAAGCAAGATAGGTCCATACCACACCCTCTCTCTTTTTGTCGGGCGGAGCACTGAACCCCGTGACAGAGTTTTTACTCTTGATGAAAGGAAGAAAAGTCCAGTTCAAGATCATCATTAAAGAAAGGGAGCTCTTCGACATGAAAGTGCGGATATTTAACACCGTCTCTCTTCCTCCTCTCCCGCTGATTTTCTCTTCCCTTCCTTCTTCCTCCCTCCCTCCCACGCTTCCTCCCTTCACACAAGGTAATCTTCATCTGGACAACAATCGCTTCTGCACCTCTGCCTCCAATTTCGCCGGGCAAGCCTACCTCTCCCTCCTCGTTGCCGCGGGGGGGTTGCAACTAGGCCTACGGGACAACGATTATTTACTCTTCTCTTCCTTCACATGCATCGTGGGGCTCCTCGGCATTACCATTTATAGAGAGAGCTACCCGTACGTAGGCTTCCAGAGGCTTTGTCCCCCCTTCCTTCCTCCCTCTAAACTCCCTCCCTTCCTTCCTCTGCGCTCGGTTCCCAGCCCTTCCTTCCTCCTTTCGCCCTCGTTTATCCCTCCCTCCCTTCCTCCCTCCCTATGAGCAGTCCTACCTGCTCCATTGCCACCCACTGACACGATACATTCTTCTTCCCTCCCTCCCTCCCTCTAGCTACTTCCTTGACCCCCACTTCATGAGCACCACCCTCTTCACCCTCTCCAAG